CATATATATATACATATATATATACATATATACATATATATATACATATCTATCCTTTGTCTATTAGTGATCATTATTTAATTTATTCAGCTAGGAAGGTAGGTATCCCAAGAAGTAGACCTAAGGTTATTTTGACACGTAATTATAAAAAATTTGATGAGTTTAAATTTAAAAATGATCTGTCTGATGCCGATTGGCCTGATATTGACAAGTTCAATGATGTGGATCAAGCATGGTGCACTTGGAATGAATTATTTATTTCTATTATTGATAAACATGCACCTAAAAGAATTATTAGGACCCGCAATAAGCCAGCGCCCTGGATAGATGCAACTGCCAAAAAGTTGATGTATGAAAGAGATATGTTCAAAAAGCGTGTTGCTAGGTCTAATAGTCAAGTTGATTGGATGAATTATAAGACAGCTCGTAACAGAACTAACTATGAATTAAGGAAAATAAAGCGCCAGTATTATCAAACAAAGTTAAGCGAAAGCTCTGGGGATTCCAAACATACTTGGGCTGTTCTGAATAGTCTAGTTGGTAAACCTTCAAAGAATACAGAAATAAACGAAATTAAGGTTTCCCCGAATGAGATTATTACCAGTGGTGAAGATATAGCTAATCATTTGAATCAACATTTCTCTGAAATTGGCGTCAAGCTTTCGTCTGTAGGAACACAAAATTACAACGTTCGTCCTGAAATGTTTCTAAAACAATCGGAAGAAACATTCAGAATACATGATGTAGACTCAGACAAAGTTTTGAAATTACTAAAGAATTTAAAAACTACAAAAGCATGTGGTTTAGACAATATCCCGAATAGATTATTGAAGGTCGCCACGCCGTTTATTTACTTGCACCTTGCTAGTCTTTTTAATTTATCAATTAAGGTAGGCATTTTCCCAGCTGAATTGAAAAAGGCCAAGATTTCTCCAATTTTTAAGAGTGGTGAACGAGATATTTCTGACAATTATAGACCTATATCTGTCCTAACTAGTATTGCTACAGTGTTTGAAAGACTTATTTATGACCAGCTGTATGCATACCTTATACATAATAACTTAATTGATTCTCGGCAATCGGGATTTAGATCGATCGCTTCACTCAACAATGACTGCACTATTAGATATGAATAATGACTGGTGCTTTAACATTGACAGAGGGATGTTAAACGGTGTCGTCTTCATAGACTTAAAGAAAGCTTTTGACACCGTTGATCATCTTATTCTTGTGACCAAATTAGAATATTTAGGATTGGAAAAAATAGCGGTTGATTGGTTTCGATCCTATCTGACTGACAGGTACCAAAGATGCTTTGTCAATGGGTGTTTGTCAGATGAGATTAAAATTACTTGTGGTGTTCCCCAAGGCTCTGTACTTGGACCTCTACTCTTTCTCATATACATCAACGATTTGGCATCTTGCTTTGATCACGGCACTGCACGAATGTATGCTGATGATACAAATTTGTCCTTTTCTGCATGTTTTCCTGTTGAACTTCAGCGTCAAATGGAACGTGATTTAAGAAAACTTGAATTATGGCTTAAAGCTAATAAATTAACTCTAAACGCCTTAAAAACTGAATATATGATTATAGGAACTCGGCAAAAGATTGCTTCATTGATCGACGATGTTGCACTTTCTATTGGAGGTATTTCACTTTGTAAAGTAAGACATGTAAAATGCTTAGGAGTTACAATTGATGAAAATTTGACGTGGAAAAAACATGTTGACAATGTTATTAAAAAGGTCTCAATTGGCATGGGTTTATTACGTAGAACTAGGAATTTTTTGACAGAAAAACAACTCGTTACTATATATCATTCAATCATTGAACCACACTTTGATTACTGTTGCATTGTTTGGGACTCTATGAGTGATACACTGGCAAATAAAATACAAAAATTACAAAACCGGGCTGTTCGTATTATTAGCCGGGCCGATTATTCTGTTAGGTCTGCTGCCCTGCTTGAAAAATTTGGGTTGCCGACTCTAGATGAGAGAAGAAAACGGTTTAAAATGTCCATGTTGTTTAAAATCTTGAACAATGATGCTCCAACTTATTTGAAAGAGTTATTTAACTATAACGACGGAGCTCAATTCTTTGGGCTACGTAATGCGAATTTAAATCTGTCACTGCCATCAGTCAAAACAGAATTGTATCAACAAAGCTTTGCTTTTTCTGGGGCCAAGCTTTGGAACACCTTGCCAAATGATCTCAAAACAGAAACATCTTTAAAAAATTTTAAAGATAAATTGGCTACACATCAACTCTCTGTTCTCTAATATTGATATATATTTCATATAATTAAATTGCATGCACGGCTTACGGGAAGAACAAGGATGTAAATATGTAAATATGTTTTCTCTTTGATGTAATTACCGTGTTGAAATAAATTTTTTAATAATAATAATAATAATATATATATATATATATATATATATATATATATATATATATATATATATATATATATATATATATATATATATATATATATATATATATATATATATAAGCTTTGATATTAGGTATGGCAATGCCAAACGAAGTCTCCTTGAGGGCGAAGGATCCAAATAGGATTCACAGCAAGTACTGTCGTATATATATATATATATATATATAAAAATCAATTTAAAAATCAGAGACTTTGCAACTTCGACCATCAATTTATTAAAAAAACTAAAACATACTAAAATAAAAGCTTAAAAGTTAAAAACGTTTCGGCAGTTCTGCCTTCATCAGTTTATTTTACAATTTAACAATGTCTAGCTTTTATAGCATTGGCAGGATCAAAATTACCATATTATATAGTAAACAAATTAATGAGGATCAATAGTAGGATCAGAATTACCATAATATGGCTTGCTAGTTATAATTATAATAATTATTACAACTTATAATGGTCCTATTTTTTGATCGAAGTTCAGATCTCTTATTGAGGCCATAAGGGCTAATTGTACACAGCTGTGCCATCCAATATGCTTCTCTGGTCAATAAAGGGTTATTGGCATTTTGGAAAGGGAAATTGTTCGGACAATAGTGATTTAAGCAAGAGGTGTGAGGAATTAAATTTGAGTTAGTTTATTCGGAAACTGAGTTAAATGTGTTGGACCTCACCTTACGCTTGGAGAATGGCTTTATTTCCACTGATGTTTATGCAAAACCTACAGATAGTCATTTATATTTGCCATACTCAAGTGCACATCCTATTCAATGTAAGAATACTATCCCGTACGGAGTAGCCTTAAGAATTAAGCGAAATTGTTCGGACAATAGTGATTTAAGCAAGAGGTGTGAGGAATACAAAAGATATTTAGTTCGTCAAGAATATACAAAATCATTAGTTGATAAGGAATTTAATAAAGCTTTAAAGGTGAATAGGAAAGACTTGTTGCATACTAAAGTTAAACCTAAAAAGAAGGTTTATCCCTTTGTGACAGAATTTAATCCTAGGGCTCCTAACATCTCACAAATTATAAGTAAGCATAAGCACTTGATCTCCACACCTGAGTGGAAAGAAATTTTTCCGGACAAGTCTATAATAACTGCCTACAGAAGGCCAAAAAACCTTAAGGACATTTTAGCACCATCTAAGTTTGATAAGCAGCATGTGTTGGCGGAAAATCAGAGGCCAGGTTGTTTCAAGTGTAAGCGAAAATGTGATTTGTGTAATAATTTCTTGAAGGAGACTGACTGTTTTAGGAGTTTTAGTACCGGTCGGTCATACAAAATCAAACAAGAAATGAATTGTGGTACCACTAACATAGTTTATTTAATTTCCTGCAAAAAATGCAATGTTCAGTATGTTGGATCCACATCTACTGAATTTAAAGTTCGTTTTCGTAACCACAAGTCAGCTATGCTTACGGATAAGAAAGTTTGTGAGATGGCCGTTCATTTTAATGAAAATAAACACGAATTTAAGGATTTGGAATTTGTAGCCATTGAAAAAGTTGACTTAGTGAATGGCGAAAATGCCAATAACCCTTTATTGACCAGAGAAGCATATTGGATGGCACAGCTGTGTACAATTAGCCCTTATGGCCTCAATAAGAGATCTGAACTTCGATCAAAAAATAGGATCCATTACAAGTTGTAATAATTATTATAATTATAACTAGCAAGCCATATTATGGTAATTTTGATCCTACTATTGATCCTCATTAATTTGTTTACTATACATAATATGGTAATTTTGATCCTGCCAATGCTATAAAAGCTAGACATTGTTAAATTGTAATATAAACTGATGAAGGCAGAACTGCCGAAACGTTTTTAACTTTTAAGCTTTTATTTTAGTATGTTTTAGTTTTTTTAATAAATTGATGGTCGAAGTTGCATAGTCTCTGATTTTTAAATTGATTATATATATATATATATATATATATATATATATATATATATATATATATATATATATATATATATATATATATATATATATATATATATATCAGTGGCGTAACTACTATGGGCTCAGACCGGGTGAACCCGGGGGCCCCCAACCCAAATGGGGGCCCCCAGGCTTAGGCGATAGGGCAAAAACATTGACCAGGGCCTCTGATATGTTACAATGTCGTTTTATGACCATCAGAATTCTGTAAAATCTCTCCCCAAAGTCCAGGAAATGGCATTTCAGAGAGTCTAGATTAAAAAATTTTCGGGATGACCATGCCCTGGACCCCCTAGAAAACTCGTACATATACGGCGCTCGACTCGTGCCTTTGGCACTTCTACTAGGGGGGCCTTCAAAAATTTTGAACCGGGGGCCCCTTGATATAACGTTACGCCACTAATTTTTATTAAATTTTCGACCGCATGCGGCAGCCTTCATCAGAAGTAATTACAAAATTAAGCATCTGTCAATTATATACCAACGGTATGGAATAAATTACTAAATTAGGGACTGGTCATAAAGTAACTGCTAGGGTGGGCTGGAGGTAAATCACAAATTTTGCCAATAAGTTTGGTGACCCATCTTAGGACGTAGAAAAATTTCAAAGCCCATCCAATCTTACCAAATTTATTTCATGACCCACCCACCCAATCTAAATTGGGAAAATACACTTTTATAATGAAAAAAAACTTCCAGGTATGAACATATATCAATACAGTGCCGGTGTATATCTTTATTTTTGTATCTGCGAAGCACATTAGTATTAACGTTTATATACCCTTCTCAAATTCATTAATAATTCATGAGTAATTCAGCCAATGATAATCACCTATTTGATCACAAGATGCCATTTGGATACTTGATGAAAGTCACTAGTGTTTTCATCAAATATCTTAATTACGCATGCAAAATTACTTGAATAGAATTCCTAATTACGTTATGCTTGGTTAAGAATTCTATTCAAATCAGCAAACGAAAACATTCTGTTACGTCTCGATTCATTTGAGAAGCCATATAAACAACTCGAGCTCGTGTTTCACCGGGATATCCAAACACTCGAAAACAATGTACGAAAACACTCGCGCTTCGCGCTCGTGTTCTCATACATTGTTTTCTCGTGTTTGGATATCCCGGTGAAACACTCGCTCTCGTTGTTCATATATTACATAGCCATTCAGCGACGAGCTTGTATAATTAAGTCAATCAGCGATTAGCTTACATCAATTGTTTACATCCTTTGAACTATAAATAACTACTAATAATAGTTA